AGAGCAGCGATACCTCTTCTTCAGGACCGATTGATACTCCTGATGAGGGGAAAGGGGCCGTGGACTCAACCTTTTTCCCCCGGTGCACCGTACAACTTAGACGGCCAATATGGCCCCCAGGCCCCTGTTAATCATGTTGTAATCATGTTGTAATCATGTTGTTATTATGTTTATTACATATATTTTGTATACTGTTTTTGTACCAATGATGTGATTATTAAATAAATAAATAAAAAAAACATTAGTATAACCTTGGAGGTTCCCAGGGGCAGATACAGTGCCAGGTATCAGACTATTTAAGCAATGTTTACCCATGATTCAGACACCTTCCCTGGCTTGCAAAATGCGGTGATAGGCCCTGGAGGTATCAGACTATTTAAAACATGTATACCCAGGATTCAATCACTTTTCCTGGCTTGTAAAGTGCTGTGAAGCGCCGGCTGTTGAATTAAAACAGTTTAATGCACTTTTAACACTCATGTACCCAGGATTCAAGCTCCTTTCCTGGGTAATAAAGTGAGATGAAGCAGCCTGTCCTCTGGGTGCGCTCTGTGGGTCTCGCAGCCTGCTTCTCCGGGGTGCTGGACAGTGTTAATTTCGTCAACGAAAACTATGACGAAAAATGTTCGTCAACGACCTTTTTTACATGACTAAGATGAGACGATGACGAGCTGAAAATAGATTCTTGATAACGAAAACTATGACGGAGGTGTTCGTCACAATAAGAGGCCAGCTGGGGGGCGCCAGCTAAAATCTTGCCTAGGGCAGCAAATTGGTCAGGGCCGGCCCTGAGGGGATCAAATACTTATTTCACACAGTTAAATGCAAATCAATGTTTATCTTTTATATAATGTCAATTTCTTGATTTTCTTTTTGATATTCTGTCTCTCATCAGTCAAATAAACCTACCATTAAAATGATAGACTCTTAATGTATTTGTAAGTGGGCAAATTAACACAATCTGCAAATACTTATTCCTTCCACTGAAACAATATACTGAATTGCAGCTATAGTTAAGTGCATGGGCTTAAGTGCTCCAGTTCAGCAGATGGCGGTAGAAACCTCCTGCTACTTGTTTAAAGGTCCTCCATTTATCTGTGAACCCCAACCATCCTAAAGCCACGACAGCCAATTCAATGCAGCCCATGCTGTGTAGCTCATTTAGCTCCAGCTAGTCGTGTCAAGTCAAATCAAGTCCAACCAGAGAGCTACCGGGAATGTGATGCATGTCCTTCAAAATAAAATTCAGAATCAGAATTCGTTTATTAGACCCTCAGCGGGGACATTTACAGTGTTTGAGCAAAAGTGGCATAGCAGGTAAAAAAGGAAAGCAATAATAAAGAGTAAGCTAACTTATTAAATATAGAGAAAAGCACATATTAATCATACAATAAAAATAAGGACAAGTAAGTACACAACCATGGCTAAAAATGGGGAGCAACCATTTTATGAACTGACAAATAACCCATTAAGTTGTTGAGACATGTGTACAAATGTTGGGACACTTGTACACTGTATGTTTTTACATAAAAGGGATTATTGCAGAGGGTTAGGCTACAATTAGCAAAACGTGTTTATATTCAAATAAAGCGAAACATTGTACCAAGAAATGCACATCACATTATGTACGAGGCGTTGAAACAGTGTTCACTTATTGTCGATATCAAATGTAATGGAGACACATTAATTAGTAATAGAGCTTTTATTGTGTGGACCCATACGGGAAGTGGTTGAACCTTTAAACGTAATTGACGTTTACGTGACACTGGTTTGCTGTTTGCTAACAACAATGAGAAGGAGTAGCAATTTAAACGGTGCTAACACATTTTGCTAAGCTTTTTCAAGGTACAGTTTGCTACATATATGCATTGTTATTACCGAAATGACAACGTATTTCTGATAGTTATTTCGCAATTAGCTTTGTAGCTGTCTAGCATTAGCTGTGTGTGTGTGTGTGTGTGTGTGTGTAGAACAGAGGGAGTATGCTAAAGCTAATCAAGTAGCTTCAGGCTAACAATTGCCTGCGTGTAACTAGACACGTAGACTGTACACTTTACCTTACAATTGCTATAAAACATCATAATAGTAAATCGAAATGCTGTCTTTTCACATGAATGAAATGTTATCTGTAAAGTTGTTTAATGTAACTTGTGAAAAGACGCAAAAGCACTTTGTGTGTTTACATAATAGAAGTTCCACCTCCTTACAAGGTGCATTTACTTTGAGCAATAATTGTCAGATATATTGAATGTGCAGAGATTTAATAGCAAGCAATTGACGTTACATCATCATATCCTTTGTTATATTTAAATCAATCCTCCAACAATGTGCGGGTGCCTTCAAAACGTAGACGTTTACTAAAACTAGTCATATAATAAATAATAATGATATAAGTATTATGTGTTATTCCTAACACCCAGTGGTTTAGCATTGCTGGCCCACAGTGTTTCTTAAAAGTCCTGAGAAGTTGGTAAATGCCGTATTTTAGCTATGTTTCTTTGTTACTTTAATATCAAGAATATATGCTTGAATTAAATCAACTAACCCCTTTAATTTTCTACCTTTTCAAAAGTATCTGGTGTTTTATCTACAGGATTACATGTTTAAACCAACAATATTTTTTAATGTTTAAAATGAGACACTACCGTGCTTTTTGGTCTGGATTTCTTGGTTTTGCACGTATTTAATTGCAATTAACTATCTTTGCATTATCATCTCCTTTTTCACATTCCACTCCATCCTCAACCAATATGCTGATTTATTCAAATTGTAGAAGTCTAATCAAATTAGTAAGATCTCAGTAATTGTGATATTTATGTCATTATGTTTAGAGCTCACTTTCCTTGTAATATGTATTTTTTAAGCTAGTCTTTTGTATTTAGATGAACATATCAAAAGATATCAAAGTGTCATACGCCAAACCTTTCTATTGAACAAAACGTATGTATTATCTTTAACCATGATCTCCCTTTGCTTTCTTCAGGTTGATACCTTCCCTCTGTCAGGACTGGATGCAGAGACCGCTCGTTTTATTATCTAAAAAGACTGTCTCTGCCGGCTTTCAGCCTCTTGGCACACTTGTCAGGTGTCAGCCATTCTGGAAAGGGTCTAGAAACCTCTCTGTCCCTTCATGCTTTAAACAAATACCCCCAACTGTTCATGCATTTAACATTTCCCGGCAAAACCACAACTTTTCCTTAGTATCCGGAGTCCTGCGAAAAGATTCTTCCCGTCTTTCTTTGCAACAACTTTTCTCCGAGATGGCAGACCAGAAGTTCATCGTGGAGTACGCCAAACGTGGCACTGCAGGATGTAAGAAGTGCAAGGAGAAGATTATGAAGGGGATAGTGCGCATCGGGAAGGTCGTTCCAAACCCCTTCAGCGAGTCTGCAGGAGAAATGAAGGAGTGGTATCACTCCAAGTGTATCTTTGAGAAGATGGAGAAAGCCAGAGCCACCACCAAGAAGATCGAGGACATCACAGACCTGGAGGGCTGGGAGGAGCTGCAGGACGAGGACAAGGAGGCCATCAACAAACATCTCTCAGGTACCAGGGTGTCCACGGGGTTTTAACAAGTATTAAAGGGCATTTTCCAAGGTATTACATTTTGTAGCTTGTTTTCAATAAGTATATAAATGGTCCAAAGAGGTTGTATTCTACAGTGTGCCTGAATGTAATCATCGCGTAGGTGTGTAGTGATTCTGTGTAGTTTATTTATGGCATCCCGTTGAGTTTGACGTCATCTGAACAGGACATCGCACGCTCACTGCTTGATAGCGCGAAGGTCCGTTTACGCCGGTTGTTAAACAACATCGTTATGGGGAAATGCAAGTCTGCGTCCAAATGGTTGGAAGATAAGGAGGAAGGACAATCCATACTGTATATAGTCAATGTGAGGTAAAGTGTGTCGCCAAGGTAACCGGTTAGAACTCCAAGTGGAGATGAGGTCTTAAAATGTATGGAAAGGGTCCAAAGATCCAAAAATACTTAAGGATCCAAAAATACATAAAGTTCCAAAAATACTTAAGGATCCAAAAATACATAAGGTTCCAAAAATACCGTAAATTCCAAAAATACTTAAAGTTCCAAAAATACTTAAAGTTTTTAAAATACTTAAAGTTCCAAAAATACTTAAAGTTTAAAAAATACTTAAAGTTCCAAAAATACTTAAAGTTCCAAAAATACTGAAAATGGTTGGAAGATAAGGAGGAAGGACAATCAATACTGTATATAGTCAATGTGAGGTGAAGTG